ACACACAAATCAGGTTGCAAATCCACCAGTGTTATTTTCTTTGAGCTTGCAGCTGCAGAATACCATGGTACTACTCAATTTCAAGCACATTAAGATACGTGCACTGAGTCTTTTGGACACCCAAATTTTTTTGTCCATTTTTAAAACTGTATATTATGTGGTTAAACAGCAAAAACATGGCTAAAGTAGTGATCTTAGAAAAATAAAAACATGAGAACTATTCTGGAGCATTATAGTAAACGTTTGATTTATGAATCACCCAGTAGATATGGTGTTGAAAGGCTGGACATTTTTAGTCATTATGGGGTCCTTCTGATGTATTATTTGTCTTCAAGTAACATGACTCATATTTTCAGCAATTCCAAGTAATTTGCTAATTACAGTATAGCACAAAGTTTGTAGAGATGATCACTATTCTTGTTATTATAACTCAGTAAATAAGAGATCCAAGACTTTTTTTCCAAATGGTGTGGTTTGATAAAATGTCAGTGTTTGCTCATTCAGTGTCCCAAGCCTGGTTTGACTAATGAGATTCCATATACTCATAGACCTTGTATGGACACAAATCCCCTGGTGACAGCAGCAGAGAGGGAATGGTTGGTGCTCAGTGTGTTGTGTAGGCAGGAAATGTTGGATTTGGTCAGATCCCTCCCCCTGGAGCAGGGTAGTGGACAGAGAACTCATGAGTTCACTTTGCTATGGATGCCATAATTTTTATCTTCAATATCTCATCCAAAGTGTTCTGTGGCTGGCAGCAGGACAACTTCTACCCATTCTGCTATGAAAGGATTGCAGTTTGGGAGGGGCAAACTACTTAAGAAATTATGATAGAAGCTTTGCCCATGTCTGAGATCAGCCTTCTCACAATGCTGAGAAATGTAGAAACAGATTTTTTTTTTTTTTTGTTAACCTGTAGTAGCCAGAATCAAGTCTGCAAATAAAATATGATCAAGGCTTGAATGTGTTGTGTTTTAGTCACAAGTGGAAGCAGAAGGTCTTATATATCCTAAGAGAATCAGGTCACAGGATATTCAGATAAATATCCTAATTTCTGTCTCTTTGTCTGGACTTTGAGCCTCTTAGAGTTCCTTAATTGGCAGCTTGAAACCACAGTCTTTTGGCTGAGATGGAAAGGTAACCTGCTTTTCTGCTCTAAAATAGGACCTCAGCTGTGAGAAGTAAAGCTTTTTCTGAGAACTTGACAAGTCCTGGGTCATCCCTTAAGATTTGTAAAAGTGCTTACAAATACATAATGTTCCTATTTTTCGTTTCAGTCATGGGTAGTACTCAAATAGCAAGAAAACCCTATAAAACTAAAAAATGGTTAGGGAGTTATAAAAATACTCTCACTGCTTCATTATTTTAGCATTACTGTGGTCAGATTTCAATCTTCACATGCTTCCTATACCATTGGAATTCAGAATTATTTGTCAGAGCAGTGGCTGTGCAAGGAGATGCTGGAAGAAAGCTGAAGGCTTATAGGAATTCATAAAAGCGCTGCCACCAGCAGAGTTTCCTCTGTGATGATTCTTGCCTTTTTCCACAGGCTGCTGAAACTTCCTGAGGCTAAAAGTAGTATCACTCAGATTTCTTTTTTTTCTTTTTTTTCTTCTTTTTTTTTTTTTTTTTTTTTTAAGATTCCTTTCTTTTTTTCTCTTGACGATGCAATGAGGCAGGTGTCAGTAGGTGTCAAGTATTTTCTAAAAGTCACAAGGAGGATCCTCCAGGCACCAGGCAGTGCTGAGCTGTGCCCTGCCTCAGCATTTTCAAACTGAGCCACCTAAGTGACTCCTTTATGCTGTCACTGTGCTCATTGTACTCCTCAGGACCAAGGAACCTCCCTGGCCAGCAAAGTGCACTAAGTGTAAATTTGCATGCCCAGGGATTATCTTCCTCCAGGCTTATGAGAGGCTTGTTTTAGGGTTTTTTGTTTGGGTTTTTTTTTTTTAAGTTACAGATGGATTCTCAAGCACCTCCCTTGAGCTCTGCTCCTGGTACACAAAGTTGATCCTGGGGTAAGTGAGCAGATTTCTGTGGGAGGCTTTGTCACAGTGTTGGCAGTACATCAGCTGCTGTCCTGTGAAGTTTGGGATACAGGATGATTGTCTCAATGTTAATTTACAGATAACTTGTTTCCCTCCAACATCCCCTCTGGAGAATCCTGAAAAGGCAGTGGACTTCCAGTCACCAGTGTCTATATTTTTTTTATGTTTACACTCAATTTATATCCTTTTTGAGTTTCCTCCTTGCTCCTGCTGCTACTTCATTAGTCCTGCAGAAGGAAGATGTGTGTCAGGGAGTCAAAGGGAGTCTGCTTTATGATGATGTTCACAGACTGCCCTCCACAGTTCAGTTTGTCAGGGCTTGGCTGCAAACCAAGCCCTTCAGCTTTCCCTGGTGCTTTGAGTTTGGATGAACTTCGGCCTCCCAGCAATCATCATCCCGCTCCCCTTTCAGCTGGGCCTCGCATCAGCTTCCCAGCATCTCCTCCCCTTCTGCTGCAGCTTGGCCGCCAGGAAACACCATTTGCCACCGCCTTCCCTCTGCCTTGGTTGTCTCCATGCACACATCATCTTCCACCACTACTTCTAAAAATCCCTGAAAGAAAGTAGCAGGCTTGAGGTTCCTGAGTAAAGAGGCAGAATTTCAGTTTTCTGCTGCCATTTAAGGAGAATTTATTCATTTACATCCTGCATCACAATAGCTCTGATGAAGGAAGGAGTCTTTGTGTTGCTAGATCTTATGTGTTCAAACTGTCTCACATAAAAAAACCCAGTAATTAAATAGGACTTAAAAATGTCCCTGTATGTGCAGTCATTCCACTTGCTTGATGACAAAAAGATAAAGGTAAGAAAACATAAATAATACAAGACTTTTTCCAGCTTATTGTTTAGAATCCAAAACTAGGTGATAGTTCGCACTTTGAGATATTTTGTGTTTGACACTATATCAGGCTCAAGCTGAGATGGAAAAGGTAGGTGCATGTTTACATGGATTTCAAAAGATTTAATAATAATAAAATATTTGTAAGGTATTAAAATAATTTTGGAGTACTTAAATATGCAATAGACATATTGTGGAGTAAACAAGAAGGTTCCATGTCGAGAAACAACAAAGGAAGTTTTAAAAATGTTAGAAATTGTCCCTGAGTTAAATAATAAAATATTAGAAAACAACAACACAACAAAACAACACACTGCAAAGGACAGTTTCTGAAAAATGCCCACCTCTTATCCAAATGCATAACAGATACCTTACTTTGCTGAGGTAGGAACCATGCTTTATCATAAGAAAAACAGAAGTGTATAACTGCTCGATAGTTCAGCCCATCTTTTGTCAATTTGGCTCTTTATTTGCCTACCCATAGCAGTTCACTATGAGGATGGCTGGTGTCACCACTCATGTTTGAGACTGCCTGATGCTTTCAGGCATAAGCTGGTATTTTCAGTATATTAAAAAATAACCACACTTAAACTGTTAGGCTCATTTTTTTGTTGTTGTTGTTGTTGTTTTTGGGGTGTTTGTATCAGTCATTCCAGGTAATAAAACTAATACATTTTTCATGTTATAATATAATTCTGAAGATCTTCTCTTTTAAAAGAAGAACTGAAAACAATGAGCAAGGGTGAGAAGAGGAAGGTATAGATAAAAGGGGAAAGATCCCTGAGAGGGAAGCTGAGTGAAGTATGGAGTCTGCATTTCACTGTGCAAGTAAACTGAACCTGGGACCACAAGTCATCTGAGAAGTGCCCAATTCACAAGAGCTTGTTCATATTTTATATATGAACATATGGAATGCATATGAAATTACTGCCACTGACAGTACAGCTATGTTGGGTGAGACCGAAGCATAACTATGTTATGGTTACATAACTGTATTATTGTCTATAATAATATCTATATAACTATGCTATAGATAAAGAGATCTTCTTGGAATATCTGTCATTTGTTAGCTAAAACTTCCTGCAACTGGGCGGAGAAAAACAGATTTTATGTTTAATTATTCTACATAAACCAGCTATGTCTTACAAGGACTTTTATCATCTTTAGTGATAGGTGTGAGTCTTATAGTAATCTGTATTGGCTCTTTTTGACACTTATGGTGTTTATTTCTTAGGATTCAGCACTGGGCTGTAGAGCCAGTGTCTCCTTCTTTGCCTGAGCTAAACGCTGAAGATGGATTTTTAACTGAAACAGATTTAGAGTATAAATAGAAGGTGTGTTCTGGAATATTTAACATGTAGTTATTAGATATTTTAAAAGATAATAATCAGAGTTAATACTAGTGGGGAGTAAGAAGAGCATCTTGAAGAGTCTCAATACACAAAGGTGATACAGATTGAAAAACAATCCTGCTACAAGTCTGTGTCCAACATTTCTTATCTTGAAGCCAAGTTAAATCTCATTTAAAGTAATTCCATTGGAAATAGGAGGCCACAATGTCCTTAAGATTTTAGGCATCTTTTATGTATGAGGGAGAGTCTTAATCTCCACCGTATTCTGTGGGAAAAGGAATGGAGACCTTAAGATATTTTTGTAACCTTGCTGATCGAGTGCTTATATACAGTGTTATAGTGTATAGATATTTCAGAGAATGGAAATCCCTTTAGCTTTTGCTAATTTTTCCTATAGTCATGTATTTGTAATCCATTTGTCAGGTTTGTAGGGAGACTCAGCTCCTCTCTTGCCTGAAATAAATCAGTCTAATCTATTTTCCTCTTGTATTTTAAGTAGGAAATTACTCTTTTTACTTAGAACCTAAGAAGGATTCTAATTCTTTGCACAGAAGTAATTTGCCAAGGAAGGATTTCCTTATCTTCATGTCTATTTGCTTAACCACGGAGATTGAAGGGAGCACAAGCAATCCTGATCTATTCTGAGCAGTTATTTGTTTTCCTTCATGTTTGCTTTGATACTAAGCAATCCTGAGCCATGTAGCATTTGAGCACTTCCCAGTACTTCCATCCTGAAAGCAACCCACTGAGAGAATGAAATATTACCTTCAGCCATGGAATCGATGCACAAGGAAATTACTTATTTAACAGTAATTATTGCTGAGCCAAGAATTTAACGTTGTCCTTCTCAACCATCTTTTATTTCATACGGTCTGCACTGCAAAAATAGCAGCCACTTTATGAAACAGAGAGAAGAAATCTGAGGGAGTTTAATAACTGTTTTCTGTAGGAAGAATTAAAGGTTTTTATTTGCATCACCTAAGTAAATTTGCTAATGTGACTAAAACAAAAGATTGGGTTTGCAATATTTATTTGAAATTATGCATTTTGGGTTACATAGCATAAAATATCCCTCTATCAGCTCCCATCAGCTGTTCTCCTGCCTGCCCTCAGCTCCAGCCCACCCTCCTCTGTGACACTAGAGAAAAGGCAGCAGTGAACACAGAACTTTTTTCCTGCCTGAACAATTTTTATCCTTTGGCCATTTTGGTTGAACCAAGCCTGCAAATGTGGAAGAATACTTTATACTTTGAAGTGTATGTTTCACACAAAGGTCAGTTAGAGTTTTTGTTATTTGTGGCAGTTTCTGGGTACCTTCCAGAACAATATTTAGAAAAATCTCAGTGCAATTTCAGCTTTTTAATCTAAATCTCTGTGGTAGCTGTTACACCCAGAAGGCTAGACTAGGAATTAGTGACATGGGAGATATAATTTTGAAGTTTTCCTGTTTCCTTTTCCCCCCTCATGTAGCCAGTTTGTAAAACACAGATTTAATGGTAGTTTGGAGCACAGATATTTTATTCAGAAGTTCTCCAGTGCTGAAGGATTAGGCATTGCTCAGGAGAATATAATGTCTCAAAAACCTTTTGAAGTATTTGAATAGCTCTTGTGGCATTAAATGACCAGACAAAAAAAAAAAAAATGTCATCTTCTAGTTGCAAAGTTCTTGAAAAGCTCAGGAAGGAAAAATGTGCAAAAGTGCTTTAGTATCACATGAGGGGTTGAAAAGAAAATAATTTTCCTATACCTTAACATTGTTAATTCTTTCAAACCAGGAGGCATTAAAATAATTTTCAGCTGAATTTTAGGAACTATTAACAATTTTCATTTATTATATATTATGTAGGATATAGAATATTTAAAAGCTGTGACAGGGAAGTTCCTGTGAGAATTGTGCAGGGAATAATGTGTAAATAAGACAAAACTGTGAGATTAAAATCTCATATTAAGATAGGCCTCACAAAAAAAAAAAAAAAAAAAAAAATTTAATGCTGCTTTCACCTTGCCATATTTGTGTGATGTGTTCTCTCCTCCTACCCTGCAAGCACAGGTAGAGATCATAGAATCTTTAAATGGGAAAAGATCCTTTGAATCATCAAGCCCAACTGTAAATCAAGTCCAGCTATCATGTACTTGATATCATGTAGTAGTTCATTATTTGATACCAAGCCAAAGGATTTAGAAAATAATTGAGGAATTACTTCACAGGAAGAATATGTTAAAATGTTGCTGTTGTAATGTTGTATAACCTTCACCCGAGTGGATGGTTTCTTTTTTGCCCTCTTTAATGGAATTGTACATTGTAACTCAGAGATTAGTGGTACAACTCTTTTTGAAGTTAGGCAGAAAAATATACTGATTTCTTTTTTAAAGGCAGACAGTAGCTAAAATGATAATACCTATACCTTTAGTTTCTGCACAAGTTACCCTACTGCTGAAATTGTGGAATCTGCTCAAATGGGAGCAACCCAAATATTTCTCACTGTCTTTTATTTTCCCTCACAGTCTGTCTAAGAAAGCATCAAAATCTTTGAGTTGCTTCTATGAAACCAAACCTGCAGCTGCCCCTTCTCATCCTCATGGAGAGGGATGCTCTGCATTTCACAGAAATTAATCCCAGCATTTCAATTGTTATGCTGCAGCATTCCATTATGACTCAGTGAAACACACACATGGAATCTTTTACAGATGAGCTTTGCTGCAGTCCTTGTGTTACTGTTTCAGATTCTGCAGTGTGGTAGGTTTTGTACAGGACACGGAAAACTTTCTGTGCATATCCACTCTTTGTAAGGAAGCTTCTGAGCTGTACAGTTATCACTTTTCTACAAAACTTTTACACTTACATCAGAATTATAATTCAGAGTGGGAGGGATCTCCTGAGCTCATCTAGTCCAAAATCCTACTCAAATTTGTATATACATATAATTTGGTTAGGTGAGAACCAGAGTTTTACCACTTTAATTAATGTTTATTATGTTTCCATTAACTTTGACTGACATTTTTCAAGAGCAGCAGTTTTCTGGGCACTGGTATCTGTGAAAGTGTGAACTCCAAAGGGCTGAGTTTACCAGGACCTTAAATGAACAATATCTAAGTACAGTGACACAGCTCTGCCTGCTCCAGGCACAAGAGATTGACCCTGGCACAGCATCCAGAGGTGATGTGATTGCCTTGGGGCAAGTTCCTGAAAGTGTGTGTGTGTGTGTGTGTGTGTGTGTGTGTGTGTGTGTGTGTGTGTGTGTGTGTGTGTGTGTGTGTGTGTGTGTGTGTGTGTGTGTGTGTGTTTTGCCTGCATTTCAGAAAGGGCAAGCAGGATGTGTCAGGAATTAACCCAAAGGCAAGCAAGAGATGCTTGGCTGTCAGAGAGCATCTTCTCATGGACCATAACATTAACTCCTAGGTAATAAAATGTAGCTGGAGAGTCTCCTCTGGTGTTTATTCAAAAGGAGAACTGGATTTCTCTACTTACTCTCTGAAGCAAAACCATCAGGGAGTTACAGATAGCAGAAAAATATTTATCACCTGCTCTCATAAGAAAATTCCTTATGTAATTTCACATCCCATTGTATCAGTCCATTACAGATTTCATTTAGCATACTTTTCCCTACCTGCTAACACAAAATCAAATATATGCATGACATCAGTGTGTGTGCATTTGCAAGAGCAAGTACCAATAATCTAAATGTAAATATGTTTTTAAACTATTCCAGCTGTAGACCCTAGAGGAGGAATGAATAAATGAAATTTCATTCAATTTTCAAAAATAACTTTTTTTTGAGGCTTTAAAAAAAACCCAAAAAACCAAAAACATTAATTTTCTAGTGGTTAGATCTTGAGGCTTTTAAAGCTTTTTTCAATTCTCCCAGTTTAGGCAAGTGAAACAAGAAGAATCAACTGCTTTTGGAGCTTCTGCAAACCTCAGTGCTTTATATTGCTCTCCAGTAGAAACAGTGATAGGAACATCAGACCAGGCTGGAAGAAACGTCCACTGATATTTGGCAAAACATAATCCCACCTGAGATTATGAGAAACATGTAATTTAAACCAGTAGTATCTTGAATAATGATTTTTAAAAATTGCAGTCCATTATCATTATTAAAATTAAAAAAAATAAATGACACCCAGTAATATTTGTCAGATACTTAACAGAATTATATGTAATATTCTTAACTTCCAATTTTTCGAATAAATTTTTAATGTTTCTTGTGTTCCACTGATAATTTATGGATTAAATTACCTCAAAACAGATCATTACTTGACATGTTAACCAATATTTTCATGTTGTTTCAGAAAATCTTCATGGGTTTCAGTAGAAAACACATTGTGTGTGTTCCCTACAGCTATTATATTGGTACCAGTGAAATATAAATGAAATTGGTGTGAACAAAAATATGTTCAGCTTGTGGTTCTTTGATGTTAATAATGGAAACATGAAATCTAAATGATTTTTTTTTTTTGTTTGCCATGTGTATTCTTCACATTGTACAAGCATCTTTCTGTTTAAATGGTTTAAAATATGACTGTATGCTCTCTTCAATTTAATTGGTTGTGGGTTTTTTTTTAATTTTAGGGCTTAACTTTCTCTTTTTATTATGAAACCTTTTCTTCCTAACTAATTTTGAAGGAATTAAGCATGCTGGGTTTATTTATTTATTTTTGTCTTTCCCAGCTGTAGGTATCCAGATGAAACTTGAATTTTTCCAGCGGAAATTTTGGACTGCAAGCAGACAGGTATATTTTAAATTGAAGGTTTTGTTTTTTCATTGAATCCACAACAATTTTTTAACTGCAGAAGTGATGATTTTTGTCAGAAGCAAACTATTGTAAAGAAACAACGTATTTGAAGACTTGTTCTGGTTTTATATTTGGATACAGAAAAGGAGAATTCCCTAATGAAGAACAGTTGCTTGATTTTTGGCGATTTGAAGGTTTATTAATTTTAGGCCCCAGTACATAAGGAGTTACTTTGTTGGCACGTGGTTTTTCTCCCTTAGAGAAAGGGAGAAAAACAAACAAAACCAAACAGCAAACAAAAGTGTGGAATTTGTTTCTAGTGATAGCAGAATCATGACTTCTCACTTAGGTTTTCTCTCTAGCACTAAGACCACACAGGTTAATTTACAGAACTACATTACTGCATCATGGTTGGCACTCACAGTGCTCAATAAACTTCACCTCAACCAGGGACAGAATTTGTACTCACTGAGGAGGATAATCGGGTACTTTCTGAGGATTAGGAGATTCCATCCCTGGTTTGAGAATTGATTGGAACTGTGCTGATACAGAGAATAAACCCTACTGGAGAATCTTCTCCCATCTATGAATGGCCTCAAATATTTACAGTATGGAGGAGATTGTGGTGTTTAAAGCAGCTGAAATTGTTACAGTGAACCCTTTCTCTGCAGAGAGGAACAGAACACATTTGGTGAACAATTCAAAAGTTTGCTAGTAATTTTTAGAATTAATTTAGATAAAAATGTAATCAATATCAACTCCTTTAAAATTGTGCTCATATGAATTTATATAAATTTTTGGTTTGTATTCATCAAAGAGAGAATTGAAAATATTTTCTTGATTTTCTTTCATATCATTAGTGTGCATCTCTTGATGGCAGATGTGCTATAAGTTGTGATGATGAAGTAAGTATTTAACAGATTTTTTTTCCACTCTATACCTTTACTGCAGTAGAAGATACAGTTGATGAATATAATTTGAACCTCTCATTGTACATTATGTTCTTTATCACCTTGTAAATATTACACTATTAGGATAGTG